GAGGCAGCAGAATTTCTTGAACCTGGGAGGCAGAGTTTGCAGTGAGCTGAGATTGCACCACTACACTCCAGCCTGGGCAACAAAGCAAGATTCCATCCCCCTCAAAAAAAGTAATAACATAATAAATAAAATATTTTTGTCATTGTGAAGTGTCCCTCTTTATATTTGAAAATATTTTTTGTCCTGTATATGTGTTTTCTCTGAAATTTATAAGGCCATTTCTGCTTTCTTAAGCTGTTTACATGCTACATTTTTTTGCCATCCATTTACTTTTAACCTGTGTTTGTCTTTAAAGCATATTGTTAGAAGCAGCACATAGTTCTGACAATTCCTGTCTTCTAATTGAAGTGTTTGACTACAACAATGATTGCCATTTCTGACACGATTGGATATAGATCTACTGCTATTCTATTGTGTTCTGCTTCTCCCGCTAGTTCTTGATTCTCTGTTCTTTAATTGATTTTGCTTCTTTAATTATTTGACTACTTTTTAGTCAAATAATTAAATTGACTATTTAATTGACTATTATTTGACTAATTATTCGACTATTTTTAGAATTCTACTTTAACCAATTTGCTCCTTAGTCATATTCCTTTGGATTACTTTTTGATGTTTAATTCTTTGCTTTACAGAAACTATTTGGACTTAATATTATATTATGCTACAATAAAGGTGGAAATCTTACAAGTGCATAAGCCCGTGTAGCACCATATACTTTATATTATCTTTGTCACATGTATTAAAATGTATACCATGTAATACCATGTGACAATATTCTAATTTTTGCGTTGTAGACAGTCATGCCCTTTAAATTGAAAAGAAAATATAGTCTTTTATACTTATTCATAATTTTACAATTTTTGGTGGTATTTACTCTTTCTGAATACCTAAGTATCCATTTTGTATCATTTTCCTTCAATGCAAAGAACTTGGTTAGGCATATTTCTAGCGTATGTCTGCTGAAGAAAATTGTACTTAGCTTTCTTTTAGCTAAAAATGTTTCTGTTTCAACTTTATAGTGAAAAATATTTTTGCTTGATGTAGAATTTTGAGTTGACAGTCTTGTTCCTTTGACACTTAAAAGATATATTGCACACTATTTCAATATTGTAGTTTTTGCAAAATCAGCACTCATTTAGAAAGTTGTTTTCTGTATGCCTGTGTCACTTTTTTCTGGCTCTTTCCAAGATCCCTCTTTATTTTTAGTTTTTAGCAATTTAAATATGACGTAGCTAAGCATGTTTATTTATTTGTTTGTTTGTTTTACATTTTTTGGCTTGGTGTTTACTGAACCTCTTGAATCTGTAGATTTATTACTTTCACCAAATATGGGACATTTTTGGCCTTTTATATTTTAAAATAATTCCTTCATCATTCTATCTTCTCTCTTTCAATAAGCACAATTGTATATGTATATTAGACCTTGATATTGCCTCACAGATCTGAGAGAATATGTCAACTTTTCTTTTTTGCAATATTTTGTCTCTGTCATCTTTAGATTTGATGGGTTCTATTACCTTAAATTCAGGTTCACTTTAATCTTTCTTCTTTTGACTTCATTCTACTGAAAAGCCTATTCTAAGTTTTAATGACTACTGTATTATGCTTCTGTTCTAGAACTTCCATTTGATTCTTTTTATAATTTTGTTTCTCCACTAAAAGTTCAGTCTTTTTTTTTTTTTTTTGACAGATTCTTGCTCTGTCGCCCAGGCTGGACTGCAGTGGTGCAATCTCGGCTTACTGCAACCCCTGCCTCCCAGGTTATTCTTCTGCCTCAGCCACCTGAGTAGCTGGGATTACAGGCATGTGTAACAAAACCTGGCTAATTTTTGTACAGTATTTTTAGTAGAGACGGGGTTTTGCCATGTTGTCCAGGCTGGTCTCGAACTCTTTACCTCAGGTGATCTGCCTGCCTCAGCCTCCCAAAGTGCTGGGATTACAGGCATAAGTCACCTCACCCAGACAGCATATTTTATACTAGTTCATTTAATATAATTTTAATAGCTGCTATGAAACATTTAAATGCTAATTCCAGCATCTGAATCACTTTGTAGTTGTTTCTGTTAATTCTTTTCCCTTGAGAATGCTTGCATTTTCATAGGACTTACTATTTCAAATAATTTTGGATTGTATTGGGACATTGAATTCTGCTATAATCTTTAAGAGTGTTTCATTTTGAAACTCACTTTGTTGAATTCAAATGTAAATTACGTGCCAGTTAGTTAAGTAACAGTTCTAATATCAGTTCAGTTCTTTCATTCTGAGCTGAATTTGTGGAGTTCTCCCACAAAGTCTTCTGGAGTTGCTACACCAAGTTTGTGGCTCCCTCTCTCCAGCTTGCTCCTTACTGACATTTCTAACTCACTTATTAGTCGCTGTTGTTGGAGCTGAGCTTTATCTTCTGGTTTTTCAGGCCAGAAAGATTATTGCTCTTTTAAAAACATTTTTTGCCCCACATGTAATTGATTGATTGTAGCCTGCCTTCAAGCATGGCTTTAATAATAAAGCCATACAATAGGAAATGCATCCCATGTCTTTCACATATATTTCTCTTCTGGGATTTACTTTCTTTTGTGCACCCCCTCCTGCATTCGTGTAGCTTTTTAAAAATATTTTGTTTCTGAGGAGGAAGGCAGCAAATCACACTGCCATGTGCATACCTATGCAACAATCTTGCATGTTCTTCACATGTACCCCAGAGCCTAAAATGCAATAAAAAATATTTTGTTTCTAGAGTTTGTGGTTCTTATCTGTGGTAGGATCAATCTGGTAAGAATTTATTTGGCCACATTAAGAGAAAACTGTAGTGACTGATATTTTGATCTCCATCTACTTGGCTTCTCTATCTATCCAATTTAATGTTTTGAGTAATACATCAAAATAAGATATTAAGGTATAGCAATAATTACAAGAGAGAAAGGGATTGAGCTGAAACATTTTCAAGAAGAACAAAAGAATCGGTGAATTGGAAATATAAAAAGAATCAATTAGACTTGGCAAAAATTTAATTTCAGAAGACTAAAGAATAGTTCTGAAAGTAGTTCTTGTTTAAGTTAAAAAAGCTAGTAATTTTCTTGGTATAGATCAGTCTCAGTGTATTTAAAAGAAAACAAGTATATTGGCTAATGCTGAAAGAGTAAAAAAAATGGGTTAAAGCCTGAACATATTGTATTTGATGTGCCAGTATGGCAACTGTGTGTATCCTACAGCAATAAAATGAAAATTTAGGCTTACAGCCAGGGAGCAATACTAGGGAAGAATTGTATATTTGTGGATCAATGCTGATAGTAGATCTCGATATATTAGAATAGACTGTTGCAGGGATTCTATTATAGTTTGAACCAGATGAAATTGTTATTTCTGGGAATCAAAAACAGTCACATACTGGCAATTTTATATGGCTCAACCAAATAACCAGAAATCCCAAAACAGAAACATAGAAAACAACAACCTCATTGAAGAAACAAATTACCTAATAGAAACCTGACTGGGAGATCTATTAGGAGAGGTCAGCATAGTAGGAGAGCGGCTACAGGACCAGTAAATACATAAAGCTGATGAATGACTGAGGTTACACTAGGGAGTAATGAGAAAAAATATAAATCTAATAAATTCTGCTGGAACATTGGTTAATTATATAGAAAATATGTAATAGCATTCTTACACCACAGACAATAATGAATATATGCATATTTGGATGTAATAAATAGAAATGAAAGGGAAACTTCAAAGCTCTTAGAATAAAATACAGGAGAATATTTACGACCTGAGAGCATGAAGTCACAATTTGATAAATATGATTATATTAAAATTATGAACTTGCATTAATCAAAGGACACTATAAAGAGACAATTCACAAATTGGGAGAAGCCACTGTAACACCTAAAACTGATTAAGGTATTGAACCAAAAATGTGTAATGAACTCCTAAACAACATTAAGAAAAGACAACTAACAACCCAGCTGAAAAAGAGTCAAATGATCTGAACATATATTTCACAGAAAAGGAAATGTGAATTGCCCATAAATAAATGAAGTTATGTCTTACTTCCTTAACAATAAAGAAACTATAAACCTAGACAATGCTATACTACTCTTGTACACTCACTAGAGTGTCAAGAAAAAGTTTAATAACAAGTGTTGGTGAGGGTGTGCCTAAACACCTTTACACATTTTTATTGAGGTTATGAGATGGTATAACTACTTTTGAATACATTATCTGATAAATTTAAATAGTTTCATACTTTATAGGCCATAACCTATCCCTACTATATAATCATGGGGAACTTTTACACATGTGGGTCTGAAGGCATCTATATGAATTTTCATAGAAATATTACTTGTAGTGTAAAAATTAAAATTACATCCAAAAAGTATGTGAAATAATAAAGCAATGAGTTATTATATAAACAAAATGAAATATTATAGGGCAATAAAAATTGTATTGTGGTACTTAACATTTATTGACAAAAGGAAGCTGTAGATGATATCCTACAGTATAACTTTTATTTATTTATTTTTTTCAGATTGGCTCTTGCTCTGTTGCCTAGGCTAGAGTACAGTGGTACCAGCATAGCTGATGGCATCCTAGAGCTTCCAGGCTCAAGCCATCCTCCAGCCTCAGGCTTCTGAGTAGCTGAGACTACAGGCACATACCACCATGCCCAACTAATTTTTTTTTTTTTTTTTTGGTAGAGACAGGGTCTTGCTTTGCACCTTGGCCTCTCAAAGTATTGGGATTACAAGTGTGAGCCACTGCAAATCAGCCAGTAAAACATTTCTACAAAACCTCAAACTGACGAAACTTCACAATATAGTATTTTGAAGTTTATACAAGTGTTACTAAACTATAAAAATAAAAACATGCTAAGAAAAGATTCAAGAAACCTGGGGAGAAAGAGACAGTATATAGAAGAAACTCACAGACTGATATGTTATATTAGTAACGATTATTTCTAAAGCTGAGTGGTGATTTCATGAATACTCATTTTATTATTCTTTTTAAAATATTTCCTTAAAATAAACATATTTTAAATTAAAAAAGAACACATAAAATAATTATATAAATAAAACATCAAAGTCCAAAACTATCATTGTTGTATAAATTATATAAATTCATATGTATTATCTTATACATTGTAATAAAATAACATATATTAGATTAGATAAATAACGTGTCTCAAATTACATTATATTCTATACGTCACAAATTCTTAATATTACTATAATTAATTTTGTAAATAGTATTTAAATTCCATGAAATAAAACCCCTTGTCTCTAAAAATTATCCCGCAGGTAAAAAAGAAAGAAAAGTTTTTAAGTTTTATTATATATAGCATGTTTAATTTCTCAGAGAGGAAGAAATTACAATAGAATACTTCATTTCTGGATAAAAATATGTTAGTGAGAAACAAAAGCAATGAAGTCTAAGTAAATCTTCTCAGGCTCAATGAAACAGCTGGTGTCCTAGACATTTTCCTGTTTTTCCTCTTGGGAACTAAGATACTGACCATATATGTTTTTCTAGACTAAAAATAAATATTAGACTGATGCTTCAATGGAATATTAGCACAGCAAGCCCTAAGGGAAATAAAACTGTAGATCTAAAAGAGTCAGTAAAATGTATCACACCTGCTTTTCTGCTTTCTTGTCAATTTGCTTTTAACTAGGGAGTGTATTTGTATGAATATGTAGGGATTCATTCATAAACAGAAAAAATAAAAACAAAATGAATGAAAATGAGAGACATCAAATTCAGATTGATGGAGTGGGTGCATGGATAGGGATGTACAAGAACTTTGGTTGGTGATGTTTATTTTCTTTCTTTCTTTTCTTTTTTTTTAAGCCTGAGTCAGGATCTCCCTCTGTCACCCAGGCTGGAGTGAGGTGGCACTGTCTAGGCTCACTGCAATGTCAGCCTCCCAGGTTCAAGCAATTCTCTTGCCTCAACCTTCAGAGTTACTGGGACTATAGGTGCCCACCACCATGCCTAGCTAATTTTTGTCTATTTTTAGTAGAGATAGGATTTCATCATGTTGGCCAGACTGGTCACGAACTCCTGACCTCAGGTAATCCACCTACCTTGGCCTCCCAAAGTGCTGGGATTACAGGCATGAGCCACTGCACATGGTCGGTAATGTTTATTTTCTAAGATGAATGGCATGGTGAAGAAGATGCACTATGTCATTTTATACATTTTGCAGGTCTAAAACATTTCATAAAAAATGAAAACTTCCAAACTATTTTAATGAGAAACCAAAAGCCTATCAAGTAATGGTTCCTTCCACAAAAATGTGTTATGCACCTGCAATGGTCAAAGCTCTAAATACATTTATTTTCAGTGGGAAATAAAGAGCTATCAAAGTTGAACCTGAATACTACAAGAGGAATGGAGTTAAGTCCCAAATAACCCTACATAATGCGTCCTATATTCCTGGAATGCAATGTGAACACAGAGTGGTCGATATTCAACAGCAAGTGGTTCCTCCAATGAGGAAGGACTACATAAAGCAATCGTCAATCTACCTGAGATTTGGGGATGAGAACATTTTTCATGGAAATAATTGACTGTGTGAATGATTTCAGAAGAGGCTTAAGATAGCATTTGCTTTACCAGGGAGTGCATCTGCAAGAATATTTGTAAGGGGATATGGAGGAACATGACTGCAGCTCCACAAACTGCTAGAACTCATCTTGTAATAGTGGAGAAAACAGGGCATTTGGCATGAAGTGGCCTCAGACCCCCTTCTGGCCATGTCACTTTACCAGAGACGTGACATTTGGCAAATTACCAACCTTTCACATTTGGCAACTGGGAATAATGAGAAATTTCAGCCTCATGGTTTTAAGAGTAATAAGTCAAGTAATACATGCACTCTGATCATATAAGACTCTAGATAAATGTTAGCTTTTACCTTTAAGCAGTAGAAAAGAGGGCTGGGGAATTAGATTGGGTCATTTGGTGAATGGTCATGTGTAGACTGACTTTAGAGATTTTCATGATTGAAAGTGGAAGGAAAAGTCACAGGTGAATGAAAGGTACTGAACCTGGCCTTGCCTTCTGAGTTATCACTAATTTGGGGTTGGCGATTATATTTTGTACACATTGTTTGATTTGATTTGCTATATTTTAAGAAATTTTATCTCTACATCCAAGAGTTACATGGGCTGATAATTTCCTTTTCCCAAACTACATTCTCTGGCCTCGATTCAAGGTTATGACAAAAGAGATAGAGAGAATTTCTTCTTTTCTGTTTCCAGAAGGGAATGATCTAAACCTGTAACTGTCAGTTGAAAACACTTATAAAACCATTGGGGCATATTATTTATTTTGAACAACCATAATTTTATTGTAATTACTTTAATATTTATAAAATTATTTTTATTTTCCATTTCTTATTGTACCAACTTTGGAGAGACATGTTTTCTTGGAATTCATGTATTTTGTCCATGGTTTGATATTTGTTAGTTAAAAAAATGTTGGTGATATTCTCATATTTTAGTTTATATGTCTACTTTATCCATAGCTCTCTTATGTTTCATTTATAATATTATATGTTGGTAACTTTTTTCCTTTTTCTTAATAAGTTTTTTCAGAGGTTTGGTTATTACTAATCTATTAAATAACTTTTTGATTTTATTGGTTTTATTGATCTGCCTAGTCCTTTTTCACCTTGCAGTTTCTTAGACTATACTTTGTGTTCCTTTTCTGACTACTTTAGCACTTATGCTCTAGGTGGTCTTCCTCACGAAGATGAGGAAGATCATGCCCATCTCTCTGACCTCCTCTGCAATAGCTCTTAGTCCTGCTCCCTCTACTGTACTTAGAATTCTCCTTGCTCTTCCTGAAAAGTACCAGGCATGCTAGTGCTGAGGGTCTTTGCTCTATTAACTCTGCTTGCATTGCTTTACCTCTGATCACCTCTGAAATAACTTCCTAATTTTAAAATCTTTGCTCATCCTATCTTTTCAATGAGTCCTTCATCTTCTATTAAGTAGTACCACCTCTTACCACAGCACTTGTTAACTTCTAACACACAGTTAAATACACCATAAAATACAACTGTTAGCCTCGCGTGGCTCTCTTTGCCTCCTCAACCCTCAGCTCTAAGCAAGTAAAATTAAAGGGTTAGACTAGATATAGATGTATAGTTTTTCCTTCCTTTCCAAACAGAAAATTCCATGATTCTATAATTTGAATTTTGCCTATTAAGCCCCAAATATTAAACAGTGTACAGTTTTCAGTTAAGACAAAGCAGAATGCATCAGCATGATAAGAATTATTAGAGAAGAATAATAAAAAAAAAAAAACAGACATTTAGAATAATTAGTGAAGATGGGGCACAGCTAGGAGGAAATCCCAGCATTATGCTACAGCAAACTGGAGTGATATAATACGAATGAGTTGATTCTTGTGTTTTCTGGGACTCATAGCTGTCTGGCGGCTATTTTGAATAGTTAGAACACTAATGCCAACTTGTTGGCACTTCACATTAGGTAAATGCTTGTCACCTCTCATTGTCTTAGGAATGAGAAATAACCTGGAAGTACAAAATGATGTTGCTTTAAAATAAGACTCCCAGGCTGGGTGCAGTGGCTCATGTCTGTAATCCCAGCACTTTGAAAGGCCAAGGCAGGAGGATCACTTGAGCCCAGATTCCAGATCAGCCTGGGCAACATAGGGATACCCCACCTCTACAAAAAATAATTAAAAAAAAATTAACCAGGCATGATGCCACATGCCTGTGGTCCCAGCTACTTAGGAGACTGAGGTGGGAGATATAGCTTGAGCCCAGGAGGTTGAGGCTGCAGTGAGCCATGAATGTGCCACTTCATTCCAGCCTGGGCAAGAGAGCCAAATACCATCTCCAAGGAAAAAAAAAAGAAAACACTCCTAGAAAATTACTCTGGAATAGAATCCATGTCCTCAAGGAGCCATGAAAGGGACCTCAAAAGACTGCAGGATTGGCAAGTGTGCAGGTTTTGGCTTAATAAAACAAATCTCAGGGTTTGACCTTGTACACATTACTTAAATTATCTGACCTTTGTTGTCTTCATTCAAATGTGTGTTTTATAATATTCTTGCCTCTAGAAATATTTCATGTAAGTTTCAGCTCTGTTTCAGGTACCAAGGATACAGCAGAGAACAATATAATATATACCATGCCACTCCTTCTGGAATTTAAGGTTTTCTCAGGAAAGAAGCTAAAGAGCTTAATTTACAAGCAAGACACAGCTTCATATATTAGGATGCACTGACTCACACTTAAATGCACAATGTATTTAAATCAATTGTTTTAATTTTAGAGAGTTGTTTACGTGATGTGTGCAATTTGACAAGGAAGGGAGGGAGGGAGGGAGGGAGGGAAAATTATCTCCGGTTAATATATTCTGGTAGAAACACTTATAATTCCCAAACTATTTAAAATGCTCAGCAGCATTCAACTAGATATAATAAAAGCAATAAATGCATTGAAGCAAATTTGGCCTTGAAGTTATTGAGTGACTCCTGATTTTACAATATATCATAGCAGGATGTTCTTGATGACTCTTAGGCAGAAAAGCAATCTAAAAAGGTTTATCTGTATCAAGAGTGTCACAATCTTTTTGGGGGTCTATTTGTCACTTTCTCATCTAGTACAGCTGTGAAAGATGGCTGATGAATTTCAATTTAGTCTTACCATTTCAGACAACTGGAAGATGGAGTTTCAGTAGAAAGTGGCTTCAGCTGAAGTAGGGCTGTGTTTAACATTTTTGCTGAGAATGCATTTTGAAAGGACCTCTGGTCAAATTAGGCTAAGTGCTAACATTGAAAGCAAGTTTTAAGTAATTGCTTATCTTTCAGAGCTAAGTGTCTCCTGCATTATATTTGTGGCAACAGGACAAATGGTCACATATCTAGCCATTATAAATCTGTCCCAAACATATTTAAAGGTGACAGGTTGATGATGGGGGCTGGGAAGGGGGCAGTTATAAGGCTCTGAAATTAGAATAAACCATTCCATTAATAACTT